AGAAGCTGTAAGGAGCTGTTGGTTCTTTTGGAGGAGCTTGTCACGCTGGCCTTCCTGAGGAATTCGACTGTTTTCATCCTCCAAGGAGCTCGGGACCTCATTGTTGCTAGGATGGCTTCAGTTCACTTTGGGGGAGCTCTGGTCCTCGCTTTGAGCATCGCTTCCTGGCTACGGAGGGGAAGATGGTGCACTGCCAGTCTCCCGGAGAAGCTTGCTGCGTTGGCTTCCCTGATGGGAGCTCAGTCGGCCATCTTGATCATCGGAGGAGCTCGGGACCTCACTGTTGCTGAGGATGGCTGCGGTACTTTTCAGGGGAGCTCTGGTTCTTGCTTTGAGCATCGCTTCCTGGCTCCAGTGCAGATCCCTCAGCCTGCTAGCACAGATCCTTCATCCCACTGGCACAGATTTTCTAGATTCCACCACTGACCTTTGGGCCTTCCTCAGCGCAGATCCATGAAACAGGCCTGCATGAGACTTGTCGTGGGCTCTGGGCTTCCAGTTGGACTTGTGGGAGGCATTGTGATGAGCTCTAGAACTTCAGCTGGACTCACGCAGGGCATCACTGTGGGATCCAGGCCCTCAGCTGGTCAAGATCCTTTGTTCTTTAGTGCATGGACAGATTTCCTGCGCTCTCTTGTGTATGATTCTTTGGGTGACTATTATAAATAGTATAAAATATGTGCCCTCTGTTATATTCTTTCCTCTTGCAAATAAGCCCCAAACTATGACAGTGGCACACAGCTGTAACGCCAGCACTCAGGAGCCTGAGGCAAGAGAATTGCCACAAGTCTGAGGCCAGGCTGGGCTACATAGTGAGACCTTGTCTCAGAAAAAACTAAAAAAAAAAATCAATAAGACACAGAGCGAGCTGATACCTGGTACTAATGAACAGACAGAGAACTTAATAAACAAGAGTATTAGTGAGCTTAAGGAAGACGAAAATAAAGAAACTAGCCGAGCTAAACAAAACAATACGAAACACAAACGACCAGTTTCACAAGTAGAGTCCATGAAAAAGTATCAAAGAGAAATACAGGTGGTAAAAAAATTCTACTGATCATATAGGCCACAGAAGCGACTCTGCAAGGAGAGGGAGTCAGAACGAGAAGACAGAGCTGATGCAGGTGGCCCTGTATATACTCAGAGTCACCTCAGCAGGACAGAGAGAGAGAGCGAGATAGTGGAAAACAGATCCAACCACTGCAAGAAGATGCAAAGGAGACTAAACTAAGATTAACTGAGGAAAAAAAAAAGAGGATTGCAATCAATGGAAAATCAGAACACAGTGAGTGCCGCAAAGAACCTGTTTACAGAAATCAGAGCTGGAGACTTTCTAAGTGTGGGGCCAGAATGCAAGACAGACAGGCAAGGCATAAGGACCATCAAATATATAAAATCAAAAAAATTTTGATTAGGTGTAGTGGTGCACACCTGTAATCCCAGCACTCGGGAGGCTGAGGTAGGAGAATCATTGCTAGTTCAAGACCAGCCTGGGCTATACAGTGAGCTCAAGGCCAGCCTTAACTGCATAGTGAGATGCTGTCTCAAAAAGACCAAAAAAATAAAAAAGCAAAAAAAGCAAAAAAACAGAGAAAAGAAAGAAAGAAAAAAAGAATGCAAGGCCTGGGAATTTAGCTCAGAGGCACAGCGCCTGCCTGGCAAGCAGAGTTGTGAGTTTGATTCCTGGTACTGGAAAAAAAAAGAAAGAAAGACTGCAGTGGCAGGAGCAAGTCTCAGTAATAACTCACAGCATGAATGGCCTCAACTCCCCAATTGAAAAATATTGACAGATTGTATCAAAAACAAAACCCAGTGGTATCTTGCATACAAGAGACATATTTGATCCCAAAAGAAATCCCCAGACTAAAACATTTCAAAGCAAGGAAAGAAATATTCCATGCAACAGGAGCCTGAAAACAAGCAGAAAAAGTAGACTTCAAACCAAAACTGATCACAGCTGGGCGTGGTGGCCAATGCCTATAATCCTGGCACTTGGGAGGCTGAGGCAGGAGTGTCACCATGAGCTTGAGATCAGCCTGCACTACAGAGTGAGACCCTGTCACACACACACACACACACACACAAAATTGGTCAGAAAGGCAAAGAAGGCCACTACATATTGATTGGTTAAGGGAAGAATGTGAGAGAGAGATAACGGTTTGTCTGGGTTGCTTTCTCATCGCTGATACAAAATATCCAATATCGAAAGTTAAAAGAGAAAAGGTTTATTTTAGCTCACAGTTTGTAGAGGGTTCAGTCCATAGTCGGCTGGCTCCCAGGTGGCTAGTGTGACAGAGCAGAAACAGCCCATGGCAGTGCAGGCAGGAGGCAGGAAACAGCAAGCCTCCCTTTCCCTTTTATTCCATTCAGGCTACAAGCCTATTGGATGGTGCCACCCACACCCAGGGTGGGCTTTCCCATTATCCACACCCAAAACTACGCTAAAGCAAGCAGTGGACTAATTTAGTTATCACATATCCTTAGTCCATATTCAAACACCCTAGTTCTAGCCACCTCTGAACAGCCCCATCTCTGAGCATATGAGGCTTTGGAGGGACATTTAAACAGAAGCCATAATATTCTGCTCCTGGTCCCCCAAAACTCAGGCACATCTCTTTATGCAAAAGGCATTTAATTCATACCTAGGGGTTGCCAAAGTCCTAACAGTTTCAGTATTGCTGAAAAGTTCATGTCCAAATTCTGCTCTGCAATTTAAGGCAAACCCTTAGCTGCAGCCCCTGTAAAAATAAAAAAAAGTTAAACGCTTCCAACATACAAGAGCAGAAGACAAACATTCTCATTCCAAAAGATTCAAGTAGAGGAATAGAAAGGAATGGGACCAAAACAAGTCCAAAATCCAGTAGGACGAACATTCAGTCCCTTAGTTCTATGTCTCTTAGTTCTATGTCCCTTAGTTCTATGTCCCTTAGTTCTATGTCTGGGGCAATCTGTGGCAAGTTGTAGATGCCAAAGGGCTTGGGTGGCTCCACCCCTAGGGAACTTCCTGTGGTGGCAGCTCCCACAGCTTCTCTCTTAGGCCTGTATTGCTCCCTCCTTGCAGCTTTCCTCAGATGACCCACGTTCCTGGCTTTTCCAACCTCCTGGGGTCTCCACTGCACCTTCAGCTTCACACTCACAGCCTCACACACTGCCCTCTCAGGGGCACACTGCCTGGCTTCCCAGGCCTTCTGAAATCTGGGTGGAAGCTTTTCTGAACCCGCAACTCTTGCATGCTGCATGCACCTAAAACCAACACCACGTGGATGACACCAGGGTCTGCTGCCAGCTGGAGCAGCAGCCAGGTTTCCGTCTCTCTTGCCTGTAGGAGACAAGTGCCTGGGTTGCTGAGCATTATGAACCCAGTCCAGAGGAACAAATGGCTTGACCTCTGCCGTTCTGGAACATGGTGCCCTGGGACTCTCATCTCAAAGCAAAGTCTTTTACCTTTGCAACTCTGAGGCTGCAAATGCCAGAATCCTGCTGGTTCTTGTGATACTCTTGGGCCATTTTTGCTACTGCCCTGTTCCAAAGTTCTTGGCTTTTTGGTGCTAATCTTTTCACCACCCAAAGTCCCTGCTCCATCTTTGCAGGCACCACTTTGCTGGAGCTTCCTTTGTGGCCAATCTCAAAACCTTTTAAATCATTCTGCTAGGTATTTGCTCTTCATTCTCAAGATAGAGCTGTCTAACTGCCCCCCCAGGTTTAGTATCCATGCCACCACCTCAACATGAGGCTGCCTTCAAACTTCTTCCCCGAGATGAATTAGTCCACCACGATTTTTTTTTTTTTGTACCAGGAATTGAACTCAGGACCTTGTGCTTGCCAGGCAGGTGCTTCTGCCACTGAGCTATATCCCCAGCTCAGTTCACCACCCTTAATCTCGGTCTCAGGCAATGTCTCTGGAAATAGGCAGAGTGCAGACAGATTTTTCTGCTGGAACATAGCACATGTCCTCTGGAGTCCAACTACCAAGGCAGTTCTTGTTCCCAACTGACACCTTCTGAGCCCAGTCTTTACCAGCTACATTTCTATCAACATTCTGGTCTTTTAGGCTCTGACCAGGATTTTCCATCAAGCTTGGCCCTTAACATTCCAAGACTGCTTCTCCAGCCAGCATACCCAACACTTTCCAAACTCTTCCCAAAAGCCAGTTCCAAAAGCTTCTGAACCACATGTTCAGGTAACATCTCAGCAGTGACCCCACTCCTGGTACCAAAATCTGCCTTAATCACTTTTTTCATTGCTCATACAAAATACCTGACAGCCACAAGTGATGGAGACCACTATGCTTTGTTTTGTTTTGTTTTGTTTTGTTTTTTGTCTTTCTGAGACAAACGGAGACCACTATGAAGCAGTGCTGAGCAGGACTTAAATTAATGAAAGGGCTTTTCATGTTCACTTATGAATCTGTCCAAAGCCTAGGCCACTTGTCTGGAAATGGGTGGCGGACTCATAATAAGTGATCTTCTGTGAGCTGCTAATCCCTCCCAAGGCCTGTAATTGCAAATGAAGCTGGGTAAAACAAGATCACAGCCAAGGACACTTGGCTATCTTACTTGGAGAAGTTCTTGAATGGTTCTCCCCTTCTTGAGTATCCCATTTCCTTCTTCTGATAACTAAATAAATATGAGAAGGTCTTGGTCTTAGCCCTGAGAGAATCTCAAATGCTGTGAGAGGCTTTGATCCCCCAGGAGCCCTGAAATCATCCCATTCGCCTCTTTTTATGTAGCCTTTGCCATACGCTCTTTCAGGAGATTGCAAACCTGATCAGTCTGCAATAACTCAGGGATATTATTAACCCAGTATACAAGGTCAAGGAGCGAAAGTTTATTTAAACTCACAGTTTATAGAAGTTTCAGTCCTTTGGCTGGTTCCAAGACAGGGTGGCATGGCAGAGGAGAACAGTCCATGGCAATGCAGAAAGGAGGCAAAGAACAGTAAGCCTCCCTTTCCCTTTTATTCTATTCAGGCTACAAGCCAATTGGATGGTACCACCACACCCATGGGGAGCCTTCCCATTATCCATACCTGGAACTATGCTAGACCTCTCAGCCAACTAAGTTAGTTATCACACACCCTTAATCCACACTCACATATCATACATCCAATCACCTCTGAAAAGCTCCACCTACAAGCACATGAGGCTTTGGAGGGACATCTAGATACAAACCATAACGATATCTACAAAGTATTTTGCCCACAAAAATAAACTGGAAAATCCAGGAAAAACTGATAGACTTCAAGATACATACAAATACCAAGAATGAACCAAGAAGATATAGCAACTCTGGCCAGCCGTAGTGGCACATACCTGTCATCTCAGGACTTGGGAGGCTGAGGCAGAAGGATGACAGTGAATTTGAGGCCAGCCTGGGATGAATAGTGAGATTCTGTCTTATTAAAAGAAAAGAAGGAGGAGGAGATATAGTAGCAACACTGAATAATCCAAGAACAGGCAATGAAATTGAGGCAACAACAACAAAAAACCCTACCAACTAGGAAAAGCCCGGCTGGGTCAGTATAGCCAGGTGTATGGCGCACACTTGTAATCCCAGCACTCGGGAGGCTGAGGCAGGAGGACTGTTGCGAGTTTGAGACCAGCCTGGGCTACAAAGTGAGCCCAAGACCAGCCTGAATTGTACAGTGAGACCCTTCCTCAAAAAGACAAAAAAAAAAAGAAAAAGTTAACACACCCCAGTGTACATATGTACAGATGTATCCTACGCCTCAGGGCTCCCAGCCCTAGCTCAGGACTGCCTGGTCAGCAAGGCAAGCAGAGGATAAGCAAACCTCAGCTCCCCACAGCTGCACCCCTGCCCAAGCTCCGCCTCCGCTCTGCTCATGGGAGTTAGACCCTTAGAGGAGCAGAACCCTGATGCGAGGGGTGTATGCTTCCAGCTCTTCACGAGACTACTGCCCGAGGGAGCTGGAGGAGCTGAGGCAGGGACGCTAGCCCTGAGGAGTGGCTGCAGACCCAGATGAACAGCAGAGAGGTCGCACTGCAACCCGCAGGGGTCGGTGCGCGCAGACTCGGGTCAAACCCCACCAGCGAGCAGCAACTGCGGAGCAAGAGGTGGCTTGAAGTCAGAATCCGCTGTTTGTGTCTGTCAGCCCCGCCATTGCTTTGTTTACCAATCCCATCCGCACCCTTTTCTTTTCTTTCTTTTTTTTTTTTTTTGTCTTTTTGAGACAGGGTCTCACTATGCTTTTCAGGCTGGCCTTGAGCTCACTTTGTAGCCCAGGCTGGTCTCGAACTCACAGCAATCCTCCTGCCTCAGCCTCCCGAGTGCTGGGATTACAGGCGTGCGCCACCACGCCCGGCACTCATCCGCACCCCTTTCTGCACTGCACGCTTGACTCCCTCTCAGCTCTGAGAAGTCTACAGCCAACCAGAGCCAAGGTGGGTAAGGAAAAACGGCTCTGGAGAGCTGCTTTGAAAGGAGGGAGACCCAGTGAAGAAAGAGCAGGAGACCCTAAGATGCCCACAGAAAGAGAGCTGCATTTACAGGAAGACACTCCAGGCTCTGTTTATGTATTTATTTTAAATTATTTTTTATTTCTTAATAGTATGTATTTGCCATACCTTACGTTCACATTCATCACAGGCGATTTGTACCTGTACATAATACATCATAATTCTTCCCCTCCTTCAACCCTTCCTCCCCTCCCCATTTACACAAGCTTTCTTCCCATTTTTTCCTTCCGCTGCTTTTAAACTCTTTTCCCTTCGTTCTCTGCCCTCACCCTCCCTTGGCCCCTTTTCCATTTGAACCTGTTCTTCCTACTTCCCAATATCTCCATTTGGCCCTTCGGGTTTCTCACAAGAAAAGCCATGTGGTATTTAAACTTGTGTGTCTGATTTATTTCACTTAAAATTATGGCCTTGTGTTGCATCCATTTCCCTACAAATGACTCAAGTTTATCCATTATGGCAGAGTAGTACTCCACTGTACATAAACACCACATTTTCTTTCTTCTCTCATCTGCTGATGGGCATCTAGGCTATTTCCAAGATTTAACTCTTATAAATTGTGCTGCTATAAGCATGAGTGTGCGTATATCACTATGGTATGATGCTTTTAACTCTTTTAGGAAGATACCAAGGAAAGGAATAGCCAGGTCAAGCGAAATTTCTAACCCTACTTTTTTGAGGAATTGCTACACTGATTTCCCCAGTGGCTGCACCAGTCTACACTCCCAGCAGCAGTGGAGAAGTGCTCCTTTTCCCCACAGCCTTGTCAGCATTTGTTATTGGTTGATTTCCTGATGATGGCCATTCTTTCTGCAGATAGAATCTCAGCATTGTTTTAATTTGCATTTCTCATATGACCAGTGATTCTGAACATTTTTGATATATTATTTGCTGTTTGTACTTCTTCATCTGAGAAGTATGAAGATGCCCATTTTTGGATTGGGGAAGGGTCTTTTTTGAGTTTTTTATATATGCTAGATATTAGTCCTTTGTCTGAGAGTAGCACCATAACTAGGATTGATGAAACAGCAGAGGACACTGAGGCACAATGGTTAGAAAAGATTAATGAGCCGGGCGTGGTGGTGCATGCCTGTAATCCCAGCACTCGGGAGGCCGAGGCAGGAGGATCACTGTGAGTTCAAGGACAGCCTGGGCTACAAAATGAGCTCAAGCCAGTCTGAACTGCATAAAAAGACAAAAAAAAAGAAAGAAAAAGAAAAAAAAGAAAAGATTAATGAGTCATTGTTTCAGCTTTTATCTAGATGTCCTCCCAAAACCTCATGCACCCTAGGAGTAGCTTTTCAGAGGATGCTGGATCTAGGGCATGTGAATGTGGATAAAGGGTGTGATGATTGGGTTAGTCCACTGATTGGCTTGGCACTGTTCTTTCTTTCTTTTTTTTTTCCGGTACCAGGAATCGAACTCAAGACCTCACACTTGCCAGGCAGGCGCTGCACTGCTGAGCTAAATCCCCAGCCCTTGGCACTGTTCTTGGTGTAGGTGATGGGAAGACCGCCCTGAGGGTGGGTGGCACCAACCACCAGGCTTGTAGCCTGGGTGGGATATCAAAGGAAAAGAAGGAAGGCACGCTTGCTGCTGCGACTTGCTCCCCTGCGATGCCTCTCTGCCATGCTGCCCTGCCTTCGAGCCAGCCAACTGTGGACTGAGCCCTCTACACACTGTGACACAAAATAAACTTCTCCTTTAACGTATGGGTGTCAGGTGTTTTGTCTCAGAAGCAAGAAAGTAGCCAAGACAGTCACCGCGGTACGTGACTCAGGTGGACGTGTCTGCTGAGGCTGTGTTTGCTTTGGCGTGAGACGTTTTCAGGAGGATGTGCTGGAAAGTGTGCACATCCTCCTGACGCGGTCGGCCAGCACCACAGCTGCAGAACTACTCCAGCCTCTGCGTGATCACCTGTCCGGAAAACTGGCCCTGTTGTCAGCAGCGCACAGATGGAAAAGCTCCACCACTCTTTATGGCTTTATGGTCAAGGAGGTCGCTTTTGAACATGAGTCTATAAACACTCTGCCTCCCATAGAGGAACAGTGGCTAACCAGAATCTCATTACCTGAACTTAACAGCAGTTTTGCAGGACGTGATCAAATGACCAAGCACGTTGGAGTACGTGCCCTCAACTCACCTCTGCTCACACAGCTCTGTGAGGACATCCACACAGAGCACTCACCACTTCTCTTATATGCAGAAGGCAGTTACTGGCCAGAGACTTCTATCTTTTCTGAACTGAGAATTGAACTCATGACCTTGCACTTGCCAGGCAGGTGCTGTGCCACTGAGCTACCTCCCCGGCCCCCTGGCCAGAGATTTTTAGGTGTGAGATGCTCATATTCAACCTGGGCAATGAACTCAATCTGTCACTTCAGAGAATGACAACTGGGTCCAAGCTGGGGCACAAACTGCCCGAATTCAAAGCCAAACTGGAACCTTGGGGGTGACAAGACAGCGCCAGGGTGTTTGACATTTGAGACATTAGCGGAGATTTTCAAAGAGACAGAGCCGGGGACATCTTTCTCCCCGTTGGTGGTGATTTCAGCTTTGGAAGACTTTCCAATTTGCTTCCCAGCCACCAAAGACCCCTGACCCGGAAGCAGCGGACCTGCGCCCCTCCGGGGAACAAACCAGGTGAACTGGAAGAGGACCAAGTGCTCGGGACTGCAAGTGATGCTGGCCTTAAATAACTTCAAATCTCCGTGCGCTTTGGAGTAAAAACCGGCGGAGTACCCAGGGCTCGACGCAGAGCTCTGTGAAGCCTGCATCCATTGTCAACACCCTGTGACAGCAGCTGAAACACAAGGGGAGGCAGACGGGACCTCAGCTGCAGACTTTAGTCCGTCTCCCTTCACACCGGTGGGACTGACCAGGACCGGCCAGCTGGAGGAAGACAAGCTCAGGTCTCACACTGGTTGTGCACGGTGCTGAGTTGTGTAACAACATCATAACATAACAATAACAATAGAACCCAGTGTGCGGGTACACACTTGTAATCTCAGCACTTGGGAGGCTGAGGCAGAAGGATCACCACAACTTTGAGATCAACCTGGAGTGCATAGTGAGTTCAGGCCATCATGAACAACATAGGCAGACCTTGTCTAAAAAACATTCCCCCCAAAAGCGATAGACATTGTATATTTGTCTCACCAGTGTGTAACACTCACTTTGTCAGACTTAGGCACATTCTCCCAGAACAAAACTTGTTTCTAAATTGGGGATTTTCTGTACTCAAGAGGCTGAAGGAAGATCACAAATTCAGGCCAGGCGGGGCAACTTTTAAAAAGGCACAAATCAGGCGTGGTGGTGCAGACCTGTAATCTCAGCACTCAGGGAGGCTGAGGTAGGAGGATGGCTGCAAGCTTGAGCCCAGCCTGGGCTACAAAGTGAGTTCAAGGCCAGCCTGAACTGCACAGTGAGACCCTGCCTCAAACAATAAATAAATAAACAAACACACAAATGAAAAAGACACAGTGTTTGCCTAGCATGTGCAAGGCCCTGGATTCGGTCACCAAGACTGGAAAA